AAAAATTTAATATTTTTATAAAACTAAAAATTTAATATTTTTATAAAATTAAACACGTAATATTTTTATACAAATAGTTTAATTATTGAATGTCGGTAACATTTTTGGCACATATTTTTTATGTTTTATTAAATTCCACCAAAAAAAATTTCAAACAAAATTGCAAATTATGGTTTATAAACTTTTAAACAAAATTGAAAATATTGTTTAATTTTTTTTTTTTTTTAATTTTGATAAGTAATATTTTTTGTTTAAAATTTTGATAAGCAAAAAATTTGTTTAAAGTTTTCATAAGTAAAATTTTATGTTTAAAATTTTAATTAGCATAACTTTTTATTTAAAATTTTGATAAATCAAATTTTTAGCTTAAAATTTTGTTAAGTAAAACTTTTTATTTAAAATTTTGATAAGTAAAAATTTTTGTTTAAAAGTTTTTATTTAAAATTTTTGTTGGCAAAATTTTTAGCTTAAAATTTTGTTAAGTAAAACCTTTTATTTAAAATTTTGATAAGTAAAATTTTTTGTTTAAATTTTTTTATTTAAAATTTTCATAAGTTAAATTTTTTTGTTTAAAAATGTGATATAAAAAAACCTTCATAATTTTTTTCCATAAATAATTTGATATTTTAAGACCTGAATTTCAAACCAACCGCATTTTTTAAATTTTTTTACTGAAAAATGTGCAAAATTGTTGTTGCTCTAATTTAGTAACGCTGCGCTGGCAATACTCAGCAGCTGTTGCTTGCTTATTTAATTAATGACATAGTTGCTGGATCACTTGTAAGAATATAATTTGATTTCTAATTTTTTACAGTTTTATTACAATTTTTATAAAAAATTTAGCAAACTGCGTGAGTAACGGTAAAATTTTGAAAAATATAAATTTTTATACTATTTCGGCATATTTTATGGCAAGACTGAAGTGTATTGTATTATAGGTTACAGACAAAATTTAATGCTTTGTTGAAGATTGTGTAACTAACAGTAAAAGTAAACTTGCATAAAAAATATTTAGGCTATTTAGCTAACGAAACATTTAGAGTTTACGCATTTGACTTTAAAATCACTTTAGGTCAGTATAAAATTATTTTCCAGTCATTCACTACATAAATTATAAACAGGTATCGGCGTTTAAATCCATTTATACCGTTACTTTGCATTTATCTAACTAAAACAACTAATTTCATGTTAATTATCAAAAATTATTTCACATACTTGAGTTTATACACACATGCAACAACAATACACCAATTTATGTATGAAAAAATTATAAACAAAACAATAAATACAATCAATATAAATGCGTGTATGTAGTAGTATAGCGCAAGTAGTGTAGTGTAGCGTAGCTGTTAGCCTAGTTAAGAATATATATGTATATGTAAGCAAACGAAGAAGTTGAGTAGGAGAAGGCAGCAAAAATGCAGAAAACTGCAAAACCGCAGCTCAAATAGCCAGCAAACTATTACAAAAACAATTTAATAATCAAAATTTGCAAAAACCAAAGCAACAGCAGAAATTACACCGGCTTAACTGAAAATTTTCACTACACAACAATAACAAAAATAATCAACTCTGAACCACTTACTAGCAAAACTATAGAGATTTCCAATAGGCTTCGCAGAAATAGCAGCAGTATAATCACACAAACACACACATACACACATACATGCATACATGTAAGCAAATGAGAAGAGAATCAAACTTTTTATAAGCCGCAAAAAAAAAAAACTATTACAAAAACAAAAATTTAAATCTAAAATCTAAAATTATATTTGTAAGCACGGTGTTGGTGTGCACACATCAGCACAAAAACATAAACAAAAAAAAAAAACAAAAACTAAAGCAAAAGCAAACAAATCGTCAAAATGAAGTGAAAACAAATGTAGCAGGACAGGACAAAACAAATTACAAGTAAGGTAGTATGTGTGCAGGTCCGAAAACAAAAATCAGCAAGGAAAGCAAAACGAAGGCATAGGTTGTTAAACACGGTACAGGAGCAGTCTATATTTATTGAGCAGAGAGAGTAAATGTAAAAAATATACATATATAAATAATATGTCTAACAAAAAACAAAAAACAAAAAAAGGGAAGGTAATACAAGAGCGGGAAAGGCGTGTAAGAAATGAAAGCAAAAGATAAAGTCATCTGTGTTATATAGTAATATATTAATAATTAATGGATATACTAATAAGCGCAATACACAAACAAACATACATACAAACAAATACATACATAAATACACAAACACACACATCTATGTATGATATAACATTAGTTAGTGTTAAGTGCAGTAAAATTAGTTTGTAACAAAACTTAACTTTAAGTAAATTAGCTTAGCAATAATAATTACAACAACACACATAAACAAACATACACACATTTAATACACAAAATTACACACTGACGGCATTACCAGCGAGTTGAAAGAATTAGGTTTTTTTTTTGGCGTTAGTTTAAGCGCAGCGGAGCAATGACCGCAGTAATCGTTGATGAAAGTATATAATAAATATTTCAAGGCATTGCAATTTATTATTTTTAATTTTCGCAAGCAACTTCCATGCTAATTTATTGATTTCTTTACGTAATTTAAATAAGTTTAGTTAAAAAATTGTTTTTTCTTACATCAAAACCAAGTAAATTTTTTTCTAATTACTAAATTTTTTTTTTTAAAATAAATTTAAAAAAATTGTAAAAATTAAAAAAATTAAAATTTAAATATCCATCAAAAAAATGTAATTTTTCAAATTTGAAAAATTGATTTATTTTATATTTTAATAACATTAAAGTAAATTAATTTTTTTAATAAAAAAGTTTTAATACAAAAATTAAATTTTTCAAATTAATTTATATTGCATTTTAATAACATGAAATAAACTTAAATCAAAGCCAAGTAAATAATTTTTAAATTAAAAAGCATTAAAGTTTTCAACCTTTCTTTTTTACTAAAAAAGTTTTAACAAAAACATTAAACTTTGCAAATTAAATTAACTTGAATTACTTTATGCGCTTTTGTGCAGGCGTAGCAACCGTTTTTAAATTATTTCAAAATTTCCATTAAACTTACTATTTTTTTTTACCGTTAGCAGTATTGATCTCATAAAATATTTCTTTAAAAATTATTATTATTATATATATTAAAAGCTTTCTTTAGTAAATAAAAACTGAGAGAATTGCGCTTTCACGAAACTTTTTGTGCGTCATCTTGAAGCTTGTGTAGTGAAAGCTTTCATCTACTTGGTTTAACTTTTAGCTTGCATATGCGTTATGCGCTACCCCCTTCGACCCACCAAAATTACAAAAAAAAAAACAAAAAAAAAAATTGTGTACCTCAAAGCTTTTAAAATTCATACTTTTTATACTAACACATTGTTATGCAAAAGATCTCCAATTTGAGTTACAACTAAGTATTGCAGTTATTTCAAATATAGTTTGTAGATTTCTAATTATAAAGTTATTTTGATTTTAGGTGTTTGCAACTATTTTCCATTTTTTAAGAAAGCACGCATTTGGGTCAGTCAAAAATATTTCACATAACAGCAACAAAAACAAGCATAAAATCATTAATAAACTTTCGTACATATTTCGTATATAGATCATACAAACAACACAAACAATAACAATTCATCAGCACGCATACAAACATAACTAAGTAATAACTAAAAGAAAAATTATGTGAACTAAGTAAGGATATGCGAAAAATAGAACCATGAATGTGATCTATTTATTAATTAAAAAAAAAGAAAAATTAATAAATAAATAAAATAATAATAGACGTAAATAAATTAGGCCTAGTAACAAAAAAATACACACACAAAAGCTATTGCATAATAATTTGCAAATTTCATTTGAAGCTTTGCGAAT